GGGGGACATGGAGAGAGAGAGGGGGGACATGGAGAGAGAGAGGGGGGACATGGAGAGAGAGAGGAGGAGAGGGGGGACATGGAGAGAGAGGAGGAGAGGGGGGACATGGAGAAAAAAAACTAAAACTGCTCTTTTACTGGTGATGTCATAGTTGTGATAGGTTTTACTGTTGTAAACACTCATTTGTGTTAGCAAAGTCTCTCGAATATAACAACACCCCGCATGTGCAGGTTTTATGGTGTTTTGGAAAGTTACAGGGTCAGTATATGGCTTGCTCAATTCAGTTTGCCAGATTGGTTTGCTGACTCGATGTTGCCTTTTCAGACCATATGGTAGCCCAGGTGTGGCAGAAGCAGCCACAAGAGACTGTACCTGCATTATTATTGCGTTGTATTTGTCCTAATAATCGCTGAATACCTGGTATGCGAACCGCTGGAAAGTGCCGAATGCACGACCACCCTGCTGTGGTCGTGTGCTTCCCCTGTATAGAGGGAAACAATGTTGCCAGAGAGGTAATTGGGTTCGTGGGTGGCCGCCGTTCGCACAAAACCCACGTGGCGGCGGCCATCTTAACTGCCGAACAGCGGTGTCTGGTCGTCGAGCGCCTGGAACTAAAACCGGGCGCTCGACTACCCAGACACCGCTCAGACCTCCAGGACCACGGAACTGCCCAATTCAAACTGCCGAACGGCCCGCCGTTCGGTAGGATGAATCCCCCAGACTAGGGGATTCATCCGAACCTAAGATTAGAGCCGGATGGCTGAACATTCGGTACTTTCAGTTCAGTGTAATAGACCGACCGCAGGGCCAGAATCCATGGAGCTGTTTTCGGCTACCAAATCCCTGCGGTCGGTCAAATCTTTGAATGTCTGTAACTCCCGAACCCCTGGTCTGATCTGGGTGAAATTTGAGTATGTTGCTCACCCAGACCAGACCAACCAGGGGACCCCTCATTTGTCACCGTACCCCCTGTATTTAGGGGACATCCAGAAATGGGGGAAAACTCTGTTCCCACTAATGAGCTTAACTGTTAATCTAAGGGGAGGAGAGGGAGAGGAGGTAACCACGATGTGATTGGATATGTTAAGTTACCTCCCTTGCATGGGAAAAGGACATAAAAGCAAATGTGTGAATAAACCTGGCAGTTGACCTCCAAGCTATGTGTCGTCTAGTTCTTGGAGGGAAGGGATTGTAACTACGCTACCTGTTTTGTACCTGTCTTGGATTGCTGTTCCTGTCTACCAGTGGAGCTACCTTGGATAATACCTCTACTCCGCTACACCAGGAATGTGAAATAACCCCATCATAGCATACCATTTTCAAAAGTAGACAACCCACGGTATTCGAAATGGGGGATGTCCAGTCTTTTGTAGTAGCCACTTAGTCACAAACACTGGCCGATGTTAGCATTTTTATTTGTTTTTTTTATAAAAAGAATCTATATATATATATATATGTGTCTGTCTCTGTCTGTCTATACTTGTCCTTGCACTCTGACTATTCCATTTTAAATGCCGGATGCATCTTGTAGCCAATGCCAAACAATATAGCACTCACCGTCTTTTCTTGTAAAAAAAAAATTCCTTTATTTCACATCCTTGTTAAAACCGATCAACGTTTCAGCCCTCATCCATGGCTTTCCCCACTTACTATTTCTATTTGTTACGTGACTGTGTATATATATATATACACACACACATATATATGTGTATGTATATGTAAAGGCGGGGCCTGGAGTTGTGGGAGGCGATAGTGCTGATTATAAATACTCACCATTGGCACTAGACTCCTCCTAGGCATCGTTCCGTTCTGAGTGTGACGGTACTTCCGGGTAAAACAGTGAGTGAGGAGACACAAGATCAGCAGCAGTAGAAAGCCTAGCTACCCGACCAGACTATTAATATTTCACCATTAAAGTGAGTGGAACCACACCTGCGCTCCCTTGCACGCAGACTGTCTTAGCTTGTCAAGCATCAAGGTGAGTATGTCCCACATTTACCTCCAAGGCTGGGAGCTAAACCGCAGCAAATTGCCGAATGGCTGGGTGGTCGCCATTCGTATAGCCAAACACGTGGCGGTGGCCATCTTGTTTAGCCGAACACGTTCAGCGGTGTTCGGTCGTCGAGTTAATGGAACTCAATTCAGACATGCGACGTCACGAACACCGCTAAACTTTACCTTCTGTGGAACTTCGACTCTTCGGGAGTTCAACAGTGTTTAGTTGAACAGTGTTTGACAATACAAACGACACTTTAACTTTGGCTATTTGCACGAACGGTTCCCATTCGTCTATTTGAACTGAATGAAGCATTGGAAGTAGACCGGCCACACAGCCAAATTCTGTGGAACTGTTTTTAGTAGGAAAGCCATGCTGCAGGCGGTCACTTCCATAAACATTTGAACCCCATGCCGATTTGACTATGTTCGTGTGATCTGAGCGCTGTTCGGGTATATATTGAGCGCTCAGATCCAAGCTATCTGGGGATATGTCAAATGTGGGTGTTCAGTTCTGTGGAATATAAG